AATATTATTTGTGTCATGTTAATGTACTTCTAAAAATGTAAGGACTAACATTATAAATAAAAAAAAATTTAGGAACTTAAAATATTAAAAAAAATATAGGAATCTATACTAAATATAAGAATCAAAAGTAGTTTTTTTTCCCTTATATGCAATTGACAAGTTTCCACCGAACCTTTTTTTTTTTTAAAAAAAAAGACTAATCGATGCGTTGATAGGCTCTCTAATCAGTGGATATTGATAGTTTTAAAATTAATTTTTTTACACTTGACTTCGGCCTTTTAGATTCAAAAAGAAAAAAAGCAAAAGAAAAAAGAAAGAAAGACATTTATCCCCATTTCATGGGCCATACTAGGCCCCACCATATTGTGTCATGTTTGAAGCTTTGCCGGCATCATCACTCCCACTTGTTCCAAAATCCCAAATCATAATTCCATCACAACGCTTTATCAAATAATAATAATAATAATAATAATAATAATAATAATAATTCCATCACAACGTTTCTGGGTAGTTCCCTCAATGTCCTCTCCTAATTCCTTTTTTTTTTTTTTAAATTTTGACGACACAGTTCAATTTCAATCCACAATGAGGATTGTTTATTATGACTAGTGTTTCCTAATACATCAACAAGTCTAAATTTTGCAAAAGGATTTTAAATACTTGATAACAAACTCAATTGGATCTTAGGCATTTTTATAGATTTGAGATTAGTCATATTGTTTAACCTTCAATGTTACTTCTGTAGATTTTATTGATTATTGATATATTTTGATGATATTAAAACCAATGAAACTTTATTCCATTTTAACCTTTTTGTTTGTTCGAAGTTAACTCAGAAATCTACATTAAGTACATCTTCATTCACTTCTGTTTCACAAAATTGTTAATGGGAAAATATGGGTAGGTTTGGTTTACTTGCTTTTAACATTAAGTAGAAGAATCCCAAAGCTGGTGTAAAGGGGAAATTTTAGTTAAGGAACACGATAGAGAATTAATTTTAAGTTGGGCTCAAAAAAATTGTAAAATTTCAGTTTAGTTTAAAGGAGGATAGTTAAAAGAATTTTGATAATAAAAAAATTAAAATACCTTTCACTTGTTATGCAGAATCATTAGTTGTTAATTTTTTTAATGTATTTGTTAATGTACCAATATTATTTATAAATTATATCCGTTTGTCAGATAATTAGTAACATTAGTTGTTAATTTGCTAACTTTACTTGTTAATTTACTCACTTTAGTTATAAATTACAAGACTTGTCAGTAATTTATAACTGATGATTGAAAAACTGATGTCGCTATTTATGATTGAAAAACTGATGTCAAGTCTTATATGATTATTAACATGTTAATTTATTTAATTTGCAACTCATATTTGTAAATTAACAAATAGAGTAAGAAAATTAATAACTAGCGATTCTACATAACAAATAAAGGATATTTTAGTCTTTTCACCATCAATTTTTTTTATTTTTGTCTCTTGAACTAAATTGAAATTTCAAAATTTGTTGGACCCAACCAAAAAGTAAATTACAAGAATTGTTAATAATTTACAATTAATGTTAGTAAATTAACGTGTAAAGTTAACAATTTAATAATTGATATTGTTACTTATGATTGAAAAACTAATGTCAAGTCTTATATGATTATTGACATGTAAATTTATGTAATTTGCAACTCATATTCATAAATTAATAAATGGAGTAAGAAAATTAATAATTAACGATTCTACATAACAAATAAAGAATATTTTAGTCTTTTCACCATCAAAATTTTTTTAATTTTTGTCTCTTAAACTAAATTAAAATTTCAAAATTTGTTGGACCCAACCCAAAATTAATTATCTATCGTGGTTCTTAACTAAAAAAATTCTCCCTATTCTAAATGTTTGTAGATTTAGGGAATGTGGCTAGCTAGTTGCAGCTTTTGAAACTTATATTTTTTTTAATAGAAACTGAAAACTACCAATACAAACTAAAAAAAAAAAAGTCAATAAGCTACATTACACATCTTCTCAAAATTCACCAACTCTCTACATAAAGTTGAGGGATCATCAAAAGAACAAAAGTCACAAGGGATGTCGTGGGAGAGCATAGCAAGGCAGTGAGCACATTAGTTAGCTTCTTGGCAGAAGTATTGAAAGGAGATTTGTTAATTCCTCTTAAAAAAGAGTCTTGCTAATTCAATGATATTACTAAAAGGATGGTTGGCATGAACTCCTCCTATAATAAGTCAGATGGCTTCAGCACGGTTAGAATAAATTTCAATTCTTTGTAACCCCAATTGGGAGCAAACATTAACGCCCTCTATTACTGCAATAACATCCGCTATAACTGTTGGAAAATCACTGATCTTATAAGTAAAATCTCTAACCCATTCACCCTTACTATCCCTTATAACCCTTCCACAACTTGTCTTACCATTATCAAGAATAGAGTTATCAATATCAAGACAAAAGTAACCTTCTTGAGGAGGTTTCCACTTAGTCCTAATGTAGAAACTATGAATAGATATTCAAAAAGCACATTCAAGTATAGTTTCTTCAAGAGATATGAATATATATGAATAAAGTATATGATTCAAGTTGAGGACTTCAATTGGTAAGCCTTAGAGCATCGAAAAAACTATAGATATATCAAAATACTTTAATAGTATAGGGATCCATAATTGTACATTATTATTGTTAACTAGCCTCCTTAGTATAAAAAAATTAGAAAAAATGACAATTAGGTCTTAAAATAATGAATTATTGATAGTTAGGTCCTTGATAAAATTTTTTATGAAATGAATTATAGATATCAGTTTAAATAGTTACAAACAAAAATTTATGTTATAGTTTAAGAATTACATTTGATATTTAAATATTTATTTGCAATTGAAACTCCTGAATTTTAACAATATAAATTAATATTTTCAACTTATTTTTTTAAAAAAATTTGTCAAAGACTTGTCTATCATTAATTTAGCATTTTGGGACCTACCTATCATTCTCCCAAAATGTTACTCCTCAAGTAAAAAATGATGAATTTTATTTCCATCTTATGATTTTATCAGGAAGTTAATATTAATTATTTTTTTATTTACAAAGTTAATATTAATATTAAAACTTAACAAGTCAATTGACATGTTCCCAAATTAAATATTAGGTAAATAAAAACTATTTCAATCAACAAATATTTAAAACAATAAACATCAGGTTCATCATTAATTATGGTACAATATTATCATTACAGATATATACTTTTATTTGAAAACAATCATATTCAATACACAGGTATTAAAATATAAGCATCATTCAAAGTTCAAGCCCTGGCACAATGTTATTAATTATGCCAATTTCAATATAAAATATAGTTTCCGGCTCATTAAAATAACAAAATTCTTAATTGAACAACCCTGTTCATGAGCTTTAAATTTATTCTTCAGACTTTCTTTTAGGGATGCGCAGGACCCACTAATAATTTTGGATGTAAAAGAATTAAAGAAAGACATTATGTCCGAATTCCGCACACAACAATGCGTGAGTCGTGAGAGAACCAAAGAACTTATCTTAAGCTGCAATTTGACGATGACCATTTTCGAATCAGCCGCAATAAATGATCAAGTAGGCGAGATATACCACTTTGAGGGTACACGTTTCTTTCTTAGCCTGTTTTCACTTCCTTTGGAACAACAATGACCAATTTTATCAACTAGAAGCAACTTGGATCTTCTTTCTTTACTGCCAGGTAACCACCAGAAGTTCAGAACATTACTTTTTTTTTTTTTATTTCTTTTTGCATGTGCACATGGTTTAAAGAATTGTTTGTACTTAATTAATCTAGATCGAATTAGGTCAAACCACAAAAGCAGCATATTCTCCCAACGAGTATTTAATATAGTTAGATACTCTAAACTCAAACTTGAGATCTTTAATTAAGCTAATACAGTCCCTAACCTGCTAAGAGGCACACTCATTGGTTAGAACATTACTTTTATAACACAATAAAACACCGAATCTAATGTTCATCCAAAAAAAAAAAAAAAACCGAATCTAATGAACTTGCACTGCATGTCACGTGAAGTAACGTGCTTCTTGTGAGCAAGTTTGATAGTGTATCTTAAAGTTCACTGTACGTCAAAATTCCTCACATGAACATCTCCCTTGGTTTTCGTTGGTTTCTGATATTGGCTCTACTGAGTTACCAACCATTCTTCTTCTTCTTCTTCTTCTTTTGATAAAGAAAATTTTAGATGGGCTAAACGCGAATAACTCACTAAGGTTAGGACAGACCTTCCAACATTCTTTGAGGATTTTTGGGAGGAATTATCTATCACCTACCAATGAGTGCCCCACATCAATCAACGGGATTCAAACCTTGGTCTTTGTGGGGTGAAGGCCAAGTCCTTAACCAACTGCGCCAAACCTTCATCAGCTGAGTTACCAGCCATTCTTAACAGCGTTGTATTCACGAAAAAGCAAAGAGAAGTTGAGAAATGGCTCAAAATGAAGCACAAGTAATTGAAGTTTATTTAAGAAAGGAAACCACACATACCCATCATATGGAACCATCTAATTTAATTACTGCATAAAGGTTTCCATCTGCTGCATGAAATGCCCTAATAAACAAATAGCAATTCTTATATATGCAGTTTCAACTAGGCATCTCGTGGTAATTCAAGGGTTAGTTTCCATCAACGATGGTCCAATTCAAACTTGGTAACGACAAAAACACATTAGTTGGCGGAAAAAAAAAACAGATATTTCTCATTAAACAACAAACGAGACCGATAAAAAGTCTAACTAAACGTGTTGAACAATTTTAGATGTCTGCCAGGAAGCGCAAACTAGTGGTCCTTCTGAGGTCCAGGATGTTGAAGGGGTTAGGGACTATAACTTCTACGCTCCCAATGGTCATACTCATTGTGATAATCAATGAGAGAATTATTTGCAAAAGGAAATTATTACTCTTCCATAGTTCATGAACGATAAAATACATGAAAGAACCAGGAACAATGACTGCTAATTTACACGGCAATAGCTCACTAATCAATATTTGAACTCGACAAAACAATTTTGAGTCTTTGAACTTTTACAGTATAACCTTGGACTATAAATTTCTATAAATTATGACATAGAAGAAAAAAGTACAAGATGAGAAGAGTTTTTAATAATCTATCACAAATACAAGCCCAAAAACAGGTACCAATAACACAACAAAAACAGGAGCAGAAAAATTAAAGAAAGAAAAAAAAATATCAAACCCATTTTTCTTCAAAATTATTTCTTTACTTGGGACTGACTTACTGTGGCTGTGATGTTCTTATTTGCTGCTTCATGCTTTCTGAAGAAGGCTGGGCAGAAACTTCTGGCAATACTTGAGCAGCAGCACCTGTCATAGTTTGGTACTGTGAAGGCATTGTGGGAGCCAGAGGCTGAGAGAAGTATATCTGGGTGCGAGCCGGATCAGCATATTCATAAGCATAACCAGCAGGAGCACCAGAATTGGAAGCAACAGCCTGAGATGGATGATGATACTGGGAATAGGCAACAAATTGCTGCTGAGGCTGACCAGATGCAACTTGAACAACCTGAGGGGTGGCTGAAATTGCTGTTCTGTATGCACCTCCTGTCATCTCAGATTTAGGTACTGGAACGTTCCTGATGGGGTTGTAAGCTGAAGATGGTGGAACCATTGCAGGATTTGATGTTGTTTGGGCATGGCTAGAAGGAATTTTTGAAGCAGATTCATTAACATTAGGCTGCTGGGAAGACAAGTTATAAGGCTGGGTCTGTCTAGTGGGCACATAGTAAATCTGATACTGCTGCTCAACCTGATGATGATGCTGGGGATGAAGCTGCTGCTGGGAAGGATACACAGGATAGTATGCAGGGAGCTGCATGGCCGCTGAAGGGGCATGGTGAATGAAATGTGTGCCATGTATATATTGTTGCTGTTGTTGATCGAATTGAGGCTGCAATACATATCCCGCTTCCTGTACTTGTTGCTGTGCTCCGTGTATAAATTGGTGCTGCTGTTGAGACTGCTGCTGTTGCTGCTGCTGCTGATCGAATTGTGATTGCAAAACATATCCCTGTTCCAAAACTTGTTGCTGCATTTGGATCCGTCCATGTGAATCAGACAATGTAATTTTCGGGTTCGGGTCAACAGGATTACTAGGAACCCTTGCAGCTCCTGAGGGAATTTGAAGCTGAGCTTGGTCTTGATAGACCATAGGTTTTGGGCGCGACATTGCATTTGTCATACTACTGTCACTGAAGAATTTAAACATGCAATCAGCACAAAGCACCTAATACAGAAAGCTCTAACAAGTAACCCATAAATATGATCAAACCAAATCAAAAGAGAAACAACTCAATGTCATAAAAATAAGCACAAGCCACAGTCAAAACCAGATGGAAAAACTGCGAAAGACAGAAAGGAAAAAAAAAAAAAAGGATTTGTAGATACCTCGAAACTGAATCTGGAGAAGGCAAATCAACAACGCCTCCGGTAGGCTTCTGCTGCAATTGCGTATGCAGAATCTGAGGCTGAGGCACCGTCTGCGGCTGCGGTGTCGGCTGTCTCCAATAACCCCCAAGGATCCCATGGTCTGATCTCTCATCATCAGAGACAACACGATTCTGGTATTCACCAGGAACCACCGAGGCGCCGATTGGCACACCCGGCGCAGCCGGGCCGGTGGATGCGGGCATAGTAGGAGGTGAAGACAGCAGATAACCCTCATCTTGCTTCTGTCCTCCACCAATACCCATTTGAGCAAGCTGATCCTCAATCCCCACCGCCTTCTGATCCTGCAACCTCGCTGCACCGCCACTGCCATCATCAACGTGAACCCGAATTGGCGGCAAATTTGCCATCGACGGCGATGAAGAAGTGGACCCAAAGGAAGATGTAGTTTCTAGCATAGGCGAATCGGGCACAGACTGAACATCCTGCCCCTGCTGTTTCACAGTCTTGCCGTTTCCAAAAGATCCAGAACCCACAGCCTCGACTTCTTTCGAACCCCCATCCGAATTGCCAGCACCAACCTCATCATCAAAATTCATCAACAAATTAACGGAACCAGAGTCCGAAAACCCTCTATTAAGCATACCCAGGAACCAATCTTCTGCCTTGGCCGAGCTATTAATTATAGGTATCGATTGGGTCGAATCGGGTTTAGCCGCGAACAAGAAAAGGCGGATTCTGGAGGGTTTCAGTGACGAATTAGAAATTCGATCGTACTCATCGATCATGTTATCGAGGTCTTCATCGGTGGTCACAGAAATAAGAGAATCAAGGTCTTCAGTGGGAAGCAAGTATTTGAGAGTGAAGGGACGGCCATTGAGGAAGGTTTTAGAGAGATGAGAGGAGAGGTCGAAGAGGGAGGTGTGGCGTTCAACGACAACGATACGCGTCTCGCCACCAACGTAACAAAGGGACTTGTCGTGAGGACGAGGGACGATATGACCGCCGTAGCTGCACATGAAGCGGAGCCTGGCGGAAGCGGCGGCGGCGGCGGCCGCCGGAGGGATAGACTCATCCCAGGAATCAGTGTTCCGGGAGCGCGGAGAAGAGTCGACGGAATCGGGATAATTGAGAAGAGGGGTTGGGGGTGGTGGGGCGGAGGAGAGCGGCGGAGCAGCGGGAGGAACCTCCATGGATGGTGGCGGAGAAGAGGTTTGGGGGAGGTTTTGGGGAGTGCCTGCTGCTGTGCTGTGTGCTGCCTCCTCGGCAGGAGAGAGAGGAGAAAAAGAGGCTGAGCGACGTGGAACTTGACGTTCTTATACTTCTCGCAAAGGCACGACACAGCTGGCCCTCCCTTGCACTTTATTTTTTGGGAAAAAAAGAAATTAATTTATAAAAAACTAAAAACATTATTAATTACTTCCCCTCTAATATTACACAATATTTTGAAGTGAATTACAGTCAAATCATCACAATGATGCTAATTATTTTTAAATTATGCATTTTTTTATATTTTATTTCATTAATGAATAAAATCTTATTAAGTATACTCTAATTAAGAATATTTTCAAGAAAACCTTATTAATTGTACCTTAAAAAAGTTAAAATATTTTATTCCTTTCGATAAAAAATGTAAAACATTTTTAACTGAATTTCATTTCTCAATAAAGCTGAATTTCATTCTTCAATAAAGTAGTTATATGTTTTTAAACTAACTCTATCTTTTTATATTCACTCATATTAAACACTCTATAATAAATATAAAATCACTGGGACACTTTAAAAAAAGTAATAATTATATTTTAAAAGATTAAAAATATCTTATATTTTTAAACATTTAACTTTTAAAAAAAATATCTCACATTTTTTAACGAAAAGAAGTATAATTTTTTAACATGTCTTTAAGAAAATGTCTCATATTTTTAAGGAAAAATAACAATTAAGAATAATCTAAGAAAATTTATATCAGTTAAAAACTAATTGTTATTAAAACGCCAAATGAAAAACAAATATGAATGATCTGTTATTAATTTAAAATAAATTATTATTAACATTTAAATTAATATAAGTTAATAAAAGATTAGTATAAATTGAAAAATATTCATTTAAATTTTAATAAAAAGTGATTTGATATAAATGTTTTTTAATAATAATTGATTGATATTTTCCCAATTTTTAAACAAGGGGCTACTGATAATTCATTAATCATCAATATATTTGCAATTTTGCATATCTGAACTTTGATTGGCTGAAAGCACGAAATGATGGAATAGTAATTGGAAGGATACATCGATCAGTCTTAAGAAATATGACCATTAATTTTTTTTTTTTATCATGAAAATGCTTTCGTTAACGTCGTAAACAAAATGTTGGTAAAATGTACATTTGCTGCTCTAATTTTATACAATATTTTAATTTTATAAAGTAATTTTTTATTCTCTAACCATAATATCTTTAATTTCAATTAATTTTTTTATCAATCTTTGTTACTTTAAAAAATTAAATTTAATGTGTTAACATTTATAAATATTTTGTTAATATTTAAAAGTTTAATATATAATTTTTTTTTGTTAACAAAACTAATAGTGTCAGGTTAAAGTATCAGAAATATACTTTATAAAACTTTAAGGTATAAAAAAATGTGTAAAATTAAATGATTAAATATGTACTTTATCCAAAAATGTTAAATAATTTAAAAAAATTAACTTTAAATTTGTTCTTTAAAAATATTTATTATTGTTATTATTAAAAATATACATTTGAAATATTTAAAAAATTATAGAAGACTGTTTTTTTCAAAAAATTTATATCTTAAAGTATGAAAATTAAAATTAAAATATAATTTCAATATTATTTTAAAATGTTTTATTTACTAAAAAGATTATAAATGTAATATTATGAGATGTATTCAAAAATACGAATGGAATGAAATAAGTTTTAAGATATTAATATTTAATATGTCTCTCTCACACACACGCATATAAAGTTTACTCCATTGTCTTTTAATCGTGTCTTTAACCTTATTATTCATTGTATTATCCTTTTTTTTAATAAAAAGATCAATAACATACTCGTTCATTGTATTATCCATTTGAATTTGAATATCATAGAACTTTAATGAGACTCGTTCTTTTAATATACTCTTTTTATTCACAAGAACAATATCAATAATAACTAATAATTTTTTAAATATATTATACGATTTGGTATTTCTTTTTCAAGGATTTGAAATACTGGGAAGGGGGAATTTGAAAAAGTGTAAGCATGGGTGGAGGATGGCTAGCCAGCTAGTTGCGTGGTTGGATTCCGTTGGGTAGTTTTTTTTTTTTTTACAATATTTATTATATTATATTATATTATATTATATTTTTTTATTATTTTTTATAACATCGAATGGGTTAGATGTTAGAACATCCTATCTCGTATCTCCTTTGGTACCACTTTAAGAAAATATCTTTTATATAAAAAATTAAAAAAAAATTAATCATTTAGTTTATCTAGCTTTAATTCAATTGTAATTCATTTTTTAAAGTCTAACTCATTATAATTCAATCTTTATAGTTTTAATTTGATTGTGAGTCGGCTCATGAATTTTACCTCTTGCAATTTAGTTCATATAATTTCAACCACTTAAATATTGATCTTTATATTTTAAAAAAATAAAATTATAAAGATTAAATTTTTTTGAGCTTTTAATATTTATAAAGATTAAAAGAGTTTAATAATTTAAAATATTACTAATGAATTTTAATCAAATTTTAATCTTTATAATTTTATTACTAATATTATAAATATTAAAAGTTCAAAATATTATAATTTTAATCTTTAAACATTATAAATATTAAAAGTTCAAAATATTTCTAATATTTATAATTTTTTTAAAAAAATATAATGACTAATATTTAAGTAGTTGAAACTAGGGTTAATGAGCAAAATGGCCTTTGAAGTATTGCGCAAAAAGCATCTTGGACCTTGAGCTTTTAAAATGTACAAAATGTATTATAAATTTTTAAATTCATAGTAAATTAAACCCCACTGTTAACTACTAATTAATGCCGTTACTAATGTGTCATTTTTTAATTAGCATCACAGATCGTAAACTATTGCACGAGTAGCATCTTGGACCTTGAATTTTAAAATTCACAGCAAATTACTTTCACCATTTATGTGTAAAATATTGATTATTAAGTAGACTAAATTAGTTTCAGTATGGCCTGTCAAGGTGAATGCATTATTGGCCGTGGCGAACAATCCATAATTTTGTGAAATGATATTTTTTGCTCCTTTTTTTGCAATATTTTTCAAACAATTTGTATCTTATGCTTTCATATATTCTATAACTCTGATTTATTCTTATTTTAAATAATATTATTTATTTATTGGTAAAAACTTTGTATCTCATTTGAGAAGAAGTTTAAGATTTTAATTAACCAATTAATTTGGATTTGAAATCCATTGATAAAATTGTTGACTTTTGCATCTATCATTTATAAAATTCTCTGACACTTAAACTTTTTTTCAAATGGGATCCCAAGTTCTCACTGTTAAATAAATAAACATTATTTAAAATAAAATTAAATTAAAGTTATAGAGTATATAGAAGTATGAAATACCAATTGTTTAGAAAATATTGCAAAAGGGGGCAAAAAGTTATTTCACAAAATTATGGGTCATTTGTCGTGATCAATGATGTATTCACCTCGGTGGACCACGCTAAGGCTAATTTGATCTGCATAATAGTCAACATTAAATGGTGGGATTAATTTGCCATGAATTTCAAAATTTAGAATCCAAGACGTTACTTTTGTAATAGTTTAGAATTTGTGGTGCTAATTAAAAATAACCCATTAGTAAGGGACTGCCACATTAACATTTTGACTAGGTCTCACTAAGTGAACAGTAACAATATTTAATTAGTAGTTAATGATGGGGTTTAATTTGCTATAAATTTAAAAGTTTAAGATTTATTTTGCATATTTTAATAATTCAGAATTTAGAGTATGTTTCGCACAATACTTCAAGGTCCATTTTGTTCATTAATCCTTAAAACTATAGATATTAAATTGCAAGAGATAAAGTTCAGAAACTAAGTTACAACTAAGTTAAAACTATAAGGACTGAGTTATAATAAGTCAAAATTTAAAGATTACGTTACAATTAGATTAAAGCTGTAGGGACGAAATGATTAATTTTTTCTACAAAATTTTAAAAATTATAATATATTTCATTTTTTATTACTTGTTGATAATTATTATTTTTATTATGTTTTATTTTAAAAGAGACCCTATGTGTGAGCACATGGAAGAGGAAGGAATCAGCTTCCCTTCACCGAGGGAAGCCTCCTTTGCCTCTCTATTGAAGCAGAGGCAAATATAGATTATTCAGATTTCATATTTTTAAAATAAAATTTATAAATTTTTTAATAAATATGCTTATTAATTTGAGTCTAAATTTAATATGCATGACCAAATTTAATACTAAAATTTTTTAATAAGTTTATTGCTTTGTTTAGAGTATATTTGCACTATCTAAAATATATCTCATAAATTAATTTGAATTTTAATATTAAATTTGGATCATTCATATTAAATTTGAACTGTTAGATTAATAAGCATATTTATCAAAAAAATTTATAATTTTTATATATTTTAAATTTTAAAAATAAAAATTAAAAATATTAAATTTTGACAACCTAAATTTGTCTCTGCCTCAGTGGAGAGACATAGGAGGCTTCCCACCGCCCGAAAGAATGATATATTGTGTTGGATGAAATGTTTGCCAAACAGAGTTACGCATTCGAACTCAATTCACAATACACAAAAGATGTACACTAAGAAAAGAGGAAGGTAAAAGAGAGGGTAAGCGAGAAACAAGCTTGGATGCTATAAGAATGGAGAGAGTGATCGATTTCATACTTTGGCTTCTCATATACACTACCCACACCCGATGGGAATTAACACATCATGTATGTAGTTTAATAATTTTGCTCACGGTAATTCAAATAGTTAGAAGAAAATTGCACACAAGACTCCAATCACATTACACTTATAGGCCTAGACTTACCCATTCTGATAAAGCCTCCATTCTCATTTGAGCTTATCTTTTTGAACTTAATTCACTAAGGATGATAATCCAACACTTTCAATATTTTTCATTTTCATTTACAATTACATAAATGGGGAGAATTTTAATAAAAGATCACAGTATCAGCTTATTTATTAATCAATCCCAAAAAATTATGAAAATACACTATTGACACAAAGGATTTAAATGAAATTAAATTT